CAATCTATATTGTAAAAGTGCTATAGAAATAAAGGTGAATTGAACCTGGTTGGAGCGTTTCAACATTACATTCTGTAATGCTTAAGAATGAGGATGATATTATTTTTCGTGTATTTGGTTGTTGCATGCAATTGAGTGTTAACACTACAAAAGCAAGTTGACAGTGCGTTTTTGACTCTGGAAATTGTCAAATGTGAACAAGATCAAAATTATTCAGACCCTGATTACACCTGTATTTAATGTTGACCACTTGTGATTGGATTGACGAAAACACATCTCAAGTAAACATGCCCGCAGCCTTGATTCAGGTGCCCTTTTCCCCTCAGGTTGATGTTTATCTCTGACTAAACAATGGGCTTCTAAAGCTGCTATTGTTTGTTGAACTGCAGGTAAGTCGCACTCTTAAAAGCCATGGGAAGCTGTAATTTCCACACGCCTTTAAGAGCCACAGATTGTTTTCTTCAGAAACCCTCAAGGCTACAAAGAGGAGACAAGCGGGATCAAAACCTTAAGCTTTTCAGGAGTTATTCTAAAGAACATAAGATGGGATCTACTGATCAGAAAATGCTGGAAATTAAAAGGATAGTTTAACATATAATTAAGGGACATTCCCTGTTTAATTGCTTTAATAATTTTTCGGGAGTTCTGGTATTTTCTGAGCTTAACAGCTGCTGTTTTGCATGAAAGAGCTGCATTAAATTTGTGGTATTTTAGCATCACTGAACTAGTTTTCCTTTACATTTTTTATAAAGATTTAGAAATAATTTTCAGAATTTTGTCATAAATTTTTGATATTGAAATAATATTGAATTGATTTAGAGTAAAAAGGAGAGTAGTTGACTTGAGTGAGTAAACCTACTGCTTTTAAAGTGATTAACTGACTTTAAGTTAACACTTACAATTTTTAGGTAAATGAACAATGTGCATAATTATAAAAAACTTAGTTACTTAACATTTCCAAGTTACAAAGGGTTTACTAATTAAAAAAAAAAAGATTTTAAGGTTAATTCACTTTTTTAAAAAGTAAAGTAACTAATCACTTTTTGCAATGTAAATTTAATTTTAACATTTTAGCTTCAGTACTTTGGTACATCAAGGTAAACTAAACCAAAATTTTCCTCGGCAACTAGCTATAACACATTTTTCATACATGGTATTTTAGGAAACATTTACAATATTTTTTAAATATCAAAAAAAGAGTATTTTAAAAGGGTACCTATGATGAAAATCCTCTTTTGTAAGCTTTTTAGGCAGAACTGTGTGTAGATATAGTGTGTTCAGAGTCATATTGGCATGATATAAAGACAAAAAGTCTCTTTTTTATTTCCTGACATTAAAGTAGCATCCAAGTCCATCCCATTTTGAGGCCCACCGCAACCTGACTGTGTGACCGACAACAACGCTGTGTGCACGTGTGTGCACAAACATTGTAACAACATTGTGTGTGACTCATCCTTGCACAAAGGCTTGAATTAACTTAACAACAAATACATCAAATAATCATTGGGAAAGTTCTTGCTCTAGTATTTCTCAAAAACGTTACATGAGATCTGCTTTCCTCGTGTCTGTCACTGTACTGTTTATCTGACGCAGCAGGAGATGGAGAGACACATCAGAACCATAGGGAGCCATCTCTGACAGGCAAGTAGGAGCAGTGAGCGGGGAGAACTAGAACTAGATTTGCATTAAAGGCACAGGCAAGAAAATAGCTATAATGTACTCGGAACTGAAAATTCCAATATTCTGAAAGGTATAATATATAATCTAATGGGTGTTTTGAGCTGAAACTTTACAGGCACATTCTTTAGACACAAAGACTTATTTTAAATCCTGAAAAAATGGGTAAAATAAGTGACCTTAAAGCAACGGTTTTACTCTTAATTTGCTATAATAACCCTTGTTATTAAAACAATGCCAAAATGTTCAGGGGACATTAAAATGTATTTTGTTGTTCACAAATCATGCCCTTATTCTGAAGTCACTGAAGTTTAATTAAAAAAAGATAACATACCACTCTGAATTGCCTTTGCAAAGCCCATTACTACATACAACTGGCATTATTATCCACCCTTCACACACTTCTGTCACCCTGAGGCAGACAAGACCAACCAATACGAGACAGGATGACTAAAAACACTCAAACATGACACACACTTCATCATACAACTATGTATTATAAGAGTACATTTTGTGTATTTGCACACAGTTTAAATTCACCTCAGCACAACTCACTTATTTTTTTCCCCTTCCTTTGAAACCATGTTTTAAAACATTTTTATTTGTTTTGTTTTGTTTTGTTTTTTTTTTAAATAATTTTGTATTCTTAAACTTCTTTCTTTTAATCTTGTTTATGTAACACTTTGAATTACCATTGTGTATGAAAGGTGGTAAATAAATAAACATGCCTTGTCTTTACTAAACAAAGAAATAACAATGAATGTTAAAGCATATGATGGTATCAAATTTTCTTTTGGTGATGATTAAGCGTTTGTCACACTATTGACATTAGGTGCAAAAAAGACAACAATTTTTATTTTTAACACTGTCAAATAGGTTAAGACAAAAGTTACATTTTAAAACTGAACATTAAAGAAAAGCTCAAATACAATACATAAATGAACCCAAAATAACTTAATACACTAAAAATAAAAAATAGACACACAAAAAGAGGTTAATTGAACATGTATGATAAATAATAGAAAGTCTACAATGTTAAGAGTAAAACGTTTAAAAGATTATGAAAATAAAAGGATTATAAAGTAATCTTAAACTTTACAATAATGTATCATTAGTTAATAGATTAACTAATATTAACAACAAAAATAGCTATTGTTACAGAATTTATGTTAGCTAAAAAACACTATTTAGTTAGCTATTACCTCCATAAAATATTCACTATTCGCAATTTGAATTATTAATATTATTATTTTAATTATAATAATAATAATAATAATAATAATAATAATAATAATAATAATAATAACAACAACAACAGCTAGCTGACCCTCATTTGTTTAGTCAAAACTAAACAAAATAAATAACAATACAAAAAACACAAAACAATTTCTTGGCGGCAAAATAAGAACATATAATAATATAACATAAAATAATAATGACAACAACTTGCCCTACCTAATTTGTTCATTAAACAAAACAAACAAAACAAAAAACTAATCCTTAGCTGCATAATAATAACCACATGTTAATAACATAAAATAACAACAACTATAGCCCTACCTCATTTGTTTAGTATGTTCAAAACAAAAAAACAAAACAAAACTAAAGTCTTAGCCGCACAATAAAAACATAATAATAATATAACAAAGTAATGATAAAAACTAGCCCTGCCTCATTTGTTCGAAAAAAAAACAAAACAAAACAAAACAAAACAAAACAAAACAAAACAAAACAAAAAACCACAGCTGAAAACTTAAAATAAAAATAAAACTCAAAACAGAAAATTTACAAAACTACTACAACCACAACCATTATAAATAATAATTATTAATAATATTAACTAGGAACAAACCAAAACAAACGACCCTAAACCAACCCAAACCAGAATAAGCTGCCTTAGAATAATACGAAAAATACAGAACATAATAACTCAAAACAGAGTCTATTGAAACCTCTAGAATCATGGCATGAAGAGTGGATTATTAAGAGCCAATCACTGCCATCAAGTGCCTAATGCAAACAGTTAGTACCAATAGCTCACTTGAAGGAAACAAGTTTAAAACACTTGAGGTGATTTACAAGAGGCTCTCGTCTCAAGAGGAACATTAAGAGTGGCTTTCCCTAAGAGGGTTACAAATAACACTCCACAACCAACAAAACCTCACGCTGATAATGGGCTGAAAACCCCTGCAGCTACTGCTCCAAAAACCTCACAGCAGATCCAGTCAGACACTTCACTCAGATCAGGCCAGGTCACAGAATTTATTTGGGGTAAATTTAGGTACATTTAACAAATTAAAAGTAAATTACTCAAGATATGCACAAATGCTTATCTTAAATTGGGCGAAAAAAAAACTCAAATTGCAATGCAAATACTTATAATATACATAATAATAATTAATACCAATACGTGTTATTTTGTAGATCCTATACAATTCGAATACATATTTTATGGATATAATAATAATATATTTAATTATAAGTTTATTATTATGATGTTTCCATAAACTTCAGATTTTGTGGCATATAAAGTTTAAGAACAAATCAAACATTAAAATAACACTTAATGTAATGATGAAAAATGTCAATAGTAGTATAATTTTAAAAGTATAAGTTTTTATTGGTATTATTTTCTCATTGTGTACATTTTTTATTGCATTTTTAATCTAAAGCTTTTTTTTATTTCAATTTAACTGTATTTTTCATTAATATATTTTTTTCTCAATTTATAAAATTTTGATTACGTGTTATGATTCTAAATCTATTTATTTAATTTCAATTCAAGTGTGTTTTTGATTAATATTTCTATTTTTTTCATGTATTACATCGTCATTACGTGTTATAAATCTAAAGCTATATATTTAATTTCCATTTAAGTGTGTTTTTGATTAATATTTTCATATCTCATTTTATTACATCTTTATTACATGTTATTAATTTAAAACTTTGCATTTAATTCCAATTTAAGTGTGTTTTTGATTCATATTTCTATTTTCTCAATTTATGACATTTCTATTACATTTTACACATCTAAAGCTATTTATAAAATTTTTATTTAAGTGAGTTTTTGATTAATATTTTTATTTTCTCATTTTATTTCATTTTTATTACATGTTATTAATCTAAAGCTTTATATTTAATTTATATTTATGTGTGTGTGTGTGTGTGTGTGTATATATATATATATATATATATATTTATATATATATATATATATATATATATATTCTTAATTTGTTAATCTTATTTTATTTATTATAATAAAATCGGTAATCAGTCACATTTAAAAATGACAAAAAAACAAAACAAAAAACAAAACAAAATAAACATAAACATTTAATTTTTCTCCATCCAGTCGAGGAAATACCAAAACACGAAATATAATGACTAAAACTGAATTTATATGCAAAAAAAAATGCTACAATTGTTACTTGAAAATAAAATAAAGCTACTATATAGTGTTTAATCCAGTATTACTTTAAAACTATAATTTGCATGAATCCATAAAATACAAATGCGTGTATACATAACCATACCCATTTCCAAACAAACAGAAATTCCACATGATTTCTGCATGGCGAGTTTTTTGCAATTAACCATGTTTAAACAAGCACCAAGACTCTGAAGTAGCACACAGAGCTCTGTTTCACAATATGCATGCGATCCAGTAGAACGACATAATATCAGAACCATCGGACATGAACTAATGTGAAGTAATAACTTCTGGCGTCGGCGCTATAATTATCGCAATTTTCATTTTCATTTGCTTGCATTTCAGTATGTTATTCAAAATGCAACCCAAAGCAGAGTGACAGGCACCTGAGGATAAGCCAAAAAAATAAAAAAATATTACTAATAATGAATGAAACCCAACTGTGTGGCACAATCAGTATCGTCCTCACTGCACTGCAGCCTTTGGTCAGTTGTGTGTATTGTGCTCTTGTTGAGTCTTTAGGCCAGTGACTGCAGAGGTCATGGATCCAGAGGGGTTTTTCACTCCTCTCTGCTCGCTCAGATTTGGAGAGGTGCCACAGGAATGGACCCAGGGTGCCGGCGGATGGGCGTTTGGGGCTGTAAACCCTTGTGGAGAGGCTGGATAGGATATGAATGCAGGGATGAGTGCCCTCCAGCTGATCTGGGGTGCAAAAGGAGCAGAGGACAAACACGTGTAAGTGCTGCTTTCATATCCGATCGGCCGAGCTGAGAAATGAAGGCAGTATATGATATGACAGAGAAACTCCAGCTCTGCTTATGCTAGATTCTCAAAATGCTGCATTTAACCCTTTCGCATGCAGTCGAAGGCAAAATTAGGAGACTTCCTGTGAATTTTGAATAATTTTTCACAAATTTTCTGACTGAGGAAGGACATCTTTCACAATATTTCCTATATTCTTCTAGAAAAAGAAGAGAGAGATCATGAGTGCATTTAAATGTAAATGTCATATCTAATAGCTCATAGTAACATGTTTTGCAAATGTTTTTAAGTACATTTACATTTAGTCATTTAGCAGACGCTTTTATCCAAAGCGACTTACAAATGAGGACAAGGAAGCAATTTACACAACTATAAGAGCAACAATGAATAAGTGCTGTAAGCAAGTTTCAGGTATGTAAAGTCTAAGAAGGAAAGTATTAGTACTTTTTTTTTTTTTTTTTTGAGTACAGTTAGTGGTATTTCCAGAGAGGCAATTGCAGATTAGGAAGTGAAGTGGAGACTAAATAGTTGAGTTTTTAGTCGTTTCTTGAAGACAGGGAGTGACTCTGCAGTTCTGATGCACCTAGGGAGTTCATTCCACCAACTGGGCAGATTGAATGCGAGAGTTCGGAAAAGTGATTTCTTCCCTCTTTGGGATGGAACCACGAGGCGACGTTTATTCACAGAACGCAAGTTTCTGGAGGGCACATAGATCTGCAGAAGTGAGAGCAGATAAGAAGGAGCAAAGCCAGAAGTCGCTTTGTAGGCAAACATCAGAGCTTTGAATTTGATGCGAGCAGCGACTGGCAGCCAGTGCAAACGGATGAGCAGGGGAGTGACATGTGCTCTTTTAGGTACATTGCCACAGTGGTAATTCTCCATTGACACCATGGTAGCACATTGATTTTAAACAGTAATCACTACTGACTGGAACTATCTGTGCATTAAACAAATATTTGCACACCTTCAAGCCAATCAGAATCAACAATTTTAACAGACCATGGAATAATTCCATATATAGCGTACAGCACAGTGTACACGCATTATAAATTAAACTGTTACGTATCTTGATGACAATATGTCTAGGGATTATTAAGAAGTATCAGTGAGTTGACCATGTTCAGAAAAAATGCTAGGGAATACATGACAAGGTGTGCCAAGACAACGATGACCTTTTAGCAATGCAAAGATTTATTACTCAAACCAAATATTTACAAAAAAAAGTGCCCTGGACTACTCAAACTACAAAACAAAACTTCCAAAATATAGAGCATACAACTTAACTAATGTGTCTTATACATCTAAGGCAATCTACGTGCTGATTTATACAACCCCAAAGCAGAAAAAATTGGGACAGTATGGAAAACGCAAATAAAAAGTTATTTCTAAATGACTTTGACTTGTATGACATTGCAATACAACAAACATCATTTAATGTGTTCCTCATGATTTTTATGCGTTGTTTTCATAACAGTTTTGGTTCTTGTAACATATTTCAAAAGAAGTTGGAAGAGTAAAGCATTTACCACTTTGTAATGTTGACATTCTTTCACAACACTTAAAAGACATTTAGGGACAAGTGATGAAGTGTTTCAGGTGTAATTTTGTCCCATTCTTCCAGCAAACAAGTCTTTAGGTAAGCAACAATATGGGGTCTTTTTGGAAACAAATCGGGACTGCAGGCAGGCCAGTCAAGTACCTGTATCCTCTTCTTCCACAGCCAAGACTATGTAATGTGTGCTAATTGTGGTTTTGCATTGTCTTGTTGAAATATGAATGGGCATCCCTGGAAAAGAAGGCAGCATATTGTGCTATAAAATCTCTATGTATTTTTAACATTAATGGTGCCATCACAGAAGTGCAGGCTATCTTTGCCAAGGGCACTGACACAACCCCATACCATGACAGAGCCTGACTTTTGGACTTGTTGCTGGTAACAGTCTGGATGATCATTTTCTTCTCTGGTCCAGAGCACACGGCGTCCATCTCTTCAAAAAAACACCTGAAACACTGATTCATCTGACCACAGTACACGTTTCCACTGTGTAATGCTTGATCCCAGATGCCTCTGAGCCCAGAGAAGTCAACAGCACTTCTGGACAATGTCACATAGGGCTTCTTTTTGGCACAGTACAGTAATTGGCATTTGTGGATGTAAATACATATTGTGGTACCTGACAAAGCTTTGCTAAAGTAGTTCTGAGCCCATGTGGTGATATCGCTTATGGATGAATGAGGATTCTTGATGCAGTGCCGCCTGAGGGATCAGAGATCATGGTTGTTCAGCTTAGGATTACGGCCTTTTCCTTTACGCACTGAAATTTTTCCAGATTCCTTGAAACTTTTAATGATGTGATGCACTGTTGAAGGTGAAATATCCAAATGTCTTCCTGGCTTTCTTTGAGGAACACTGTTTTTAAGCATTTCAATCATTTTCTTACATATTTGTTGGCAAACTGCCGATCCTCAGCCCATCTTTGCTCCTACTAGACCTTTCTTGGATGCTGCTTTTGTACCAAAACATAATTACAATCACCTGTTGACATCACCTGTTTAAATCACATTTAATTAAATGACCCGATTATTAGCCCTACACTGCTCCTGTCCCAACTTTTTTTGCAATGTGTTGCAGATCTGAACGACAGGGAAGGATGCTTCTTTGCAAATAAAATGAAGTTGACCAGACAAAATATGAATTTTTTTGTGTTCATATTGTCTGCATTGGAACACAAGTCAAAGTAAATGTGCAAATCACTACACTCTTTTAATTTGCATTTTCCATACTGTCCCAACATTGAACTTATATTAAGGGACTTCCTTAAGCTTTTAAATTTCTTCATCAACATACTATTTCAATCTTAACCATACAACCTAAATCTTGCAACCCAATATGCACTCAATATGTAGACAGAACAAATCGAGCACAAAAAAACTACAATTGAATTAGAAAAAGAGCTCAAATGTGTGGTAAAGTCAAGCAACCTAGCTCAGTTGTTCATCCCGTCACCGTATTGTTTCCAGCGGACTTCGAACCCTGAAAAGAGCCAGTTCTCAAAGCACCCTATATAACTCTGTTGACCTTTCTGACCTTTAATTCTCATTAAAGACTGGAGGCCATGGTGATAAACTCCCCCAAAAAGAGAGAGCAAACAAACACACCATGCGAAGCCCTTCCAGCCCGTCCTCCACTAGGTCCCTTCCCACCTCCTCCCAAAACAGAAGCGGGGTTCAACCACAGTTTAAACGCATTACGTGCAACAGCGGACGAGGTCGGCCATGGGTTACTGTGCCGTTCCCTCAGTGGACCTGACCAGTCGGTGAGTCCTCTGGCTCACACTTCAGGCTACGTGTGTGCTAGCGCTAACGTTTCGCCCCCTAGATGTCTAGCAAAAACACAGACCAAAAAAAAAAATAACAGTACTCTGATCTGCCCACAAATGGAGGTGTGGGACTCAATTCTTCAGCCCAACGAGAGCAGCCCACAAGCTTAAGGGAAGTGTGTGTGAGAGTGTGTGCATTTGTGTGTGTGACAGCGAGCTAAAGGCTTCTGCTGTTAGCCATCGCTGCTCTTTATGCGTGTGCAGCACCGTGAGGAAGGAGCTAATGAGCCAGCAGGTATTCTCGGCGATCAAGACGACACGCAAGCGAGGGAAGGTGGAGCGAAAGATTTCTTTTAGGATAATGGCAGATAAAAATGGGCTTTCTTTATGGACGACTGCAGATCAAACTGCGACAAAAGGAGAACTGAGTGTATGAGAGGGAAACTTGGAGATAGAGAGAGAGAGAGAGACAGAGTCTAAGTGTGTGTTTAAGTGCTTCTCAGAGTGTTAATGAATTGGGGGCGTAATCCATCACAGGTTGTAACTCTTCACAAGAAAGAGTCCCTTTAAGCAAAGGACAGCACTTGTGGGGACAAAGGCAGGCATAGTGTGGACTTCATACTGCAGAGCTGAAAAGGTGTTGCCGTTAGTAACCTGATCCCGCTGAACTATAATCTGCACTTTAACAGTCACAAGTTTGACCTTAACCAACAACACAGGGTTGACTGGAATGACAACTGCACAACACACACACAAACACACACACAGTATATCTACGGCAGTGACGTCCCATAGATGTAATGATTTTTATATTGTACAGATTGTTTATTTAATCCCCCTACCTATCATTAGAATATTAGGTTATTAGGTAACGATTATCTTTTATGACAACATTTTGTACATCTTCTACAGTAAATAAATATATTTATTTTTATTAATTTATTTATTTTTAATATTCATTAATAAATTTTTCCCTCATTAGTCGCTTTATTCATCAGGGGTCACCACAGCGTAATGAACCGCCAACCTATCCAGCATATGTTTTACACAGCGGACGCCCTTCCAGCTGCAACAGTACAGAGAAACACCCATACACTCTCACATTCACACACACACACACACACACATACTCACTCACATACACGCACAAAAGTTTTATCAGACATACTGTGAACATTTCCTTGCTCTGTTAAAAATCATTTGGGAAATATTTAAAAAAAGAAACATAACAAATGACAATATATGACGATAGAATAAATGACAATAATTTGCCAAATAAATGATAATAGGCTACAGTTTTTAAATTTAAACTCAAAAAAGTGCTTAAAATGTCACTAGATGCAGTATTTAATCCCTCATAATTTAATAGAAAATGAGGCAAATAACTGCAAAAAGGTCCACTTTTTTAGAAAAAAAACACCCCTTTCACCCCTGTAAAATAAAACGATGAAAAAATAAAACTAAAACATTAGAACCATATGTATAACTACAGAATGACAAAATAATAAACTCATATATAACTACAGAACATTAGATATCAATGGATAAAATGTTAGATTGCGCATACATGCTTCACAGGAGGCACAGATATTTGTAATGGTGTGCAGTGTGTGATCTGAA